GCAGATCGTTAGGCACCCACTACTCAAATATAAATGTACCAACCCAAAGTCCTTAAAAGACCCCGGTGTATTGTAGCTTTCAATGTCAACCTTGTCTGCTTTTTATCAAATTTCAGAGGACAGTCTTGTTACCACAGACTTAACTGCTTGGGTCGTAACTACATCCGTTTTTAACCAATAATTTCTCACAAGAGGCAATGCCTTAAATGTTCAATACTTGATAAATGTGAATTTAATATGCATTTAGGCATGTCACTCTAATCTATTTTAGATGAATGCAGTGGTGTTGTACTTGAAATGATCTGGCTCGGCCTCAAAACCTGTTCCTGATGAAGGGTCCCAATTGTCACAAAAATGGTATGTGCCAAAGTTTTCTATAACCTGATTATTTTAGAATTATTACATACATCTTTATAGTATCTAAAGGCAGTGTCATCTAGCCTTTCTCATCATAAATATATTAAACAATGTAGAATAATTCATTGTTATCAATGATATCACATTGCTTAGCAAATGTAACCATAAGGGGTTTAATATTCTTCTATGGTTCAGCAGTGATGTTTAAGGAGCTAAAGCTGCTGATCGCATTTTTATGCAGACACACAATGCTTTCATAACTTATGAATGTGCTGTGTGTATAAATGAGGCATGTGGTTGAACTCATTGTTCATTATTACAACAAACAATAGGAATAACACAACCGGTCAACTGTCCATGTCCATTTACCTTTGATTTACTATTACTACATACAGTGTGTGGTTCAGGCACTCTGGCACTGGCAACACAGGGGAGGCAGAGACAGAGAGGCCCCTCTGTGGTCTGTGTCCAACACTGATAAACTGGCAGACACACATCGATCCAGCAGCTCCTCAGCCCTGCACTCCACTTTGCTGAAAACACTCGACTCCAGAGCAGTAAAGAGAAATATCATATGTTTATCATCTTCAACCTTATCTGCATCCGAGACAATGACTGCTTTCTGTATGCAACATCTCAGCTTATCCATGCCTTGTGTGCTTGTTTGACTGCAGTTTATCACAAAGCCACACATTTCATTTACTAACCAAACATTTGTACATACAGATCTGTATCAAATACTACTAATAATACTATAATCTGCTGACTCTAACTTTATGGTTTGTTTTAGCCCACTTAGGCCACAGATGTGTTCTGACACCAAGGACGACTAATGCCAGAGAGGGTGAAAATACATTGAAAGCAACCACAGTGCACACACAATGGTGAGCATGCCCACAAACATATACAGTACACATATTCTAGAGAGCAGTGAAGCAGATTCAGCTGTGTTCTTAGCTCACCGTCCCTCTCGAATGACCTCATACCCTGACAATGCCACCATTCATACAGATGTTGCTTACAAAACCTGGAGTCAGACTCCTATTGTGTGCGCTGCTCCTCCCCACAACAAGAGGTTTAGCCAGAGGTGCTCCCCTACTACGGTGGAAGAAAATGAATGGATCACGTAACAGTGTAACCATTTACGCTAATAGTTTAACCGCTTACAAATGACTTCATACTAAGCTAAACGCTCAATCAATCACCATGTAGCGGAGTTCAAAACAGAAACATCTTTGGCTGCTTCTCAAGTTTTCTTTTGTAATTTATGAACAGAATATGCATTTTTCAATCTTTTGCTGCATAAGGTAACACTTGAACTTCAAGGCTTTTACCCCACATGCCTGTTTCAAATCTATAACTCTACTGAAACATAACAGTAAGGGTTGTGTAAATGAAATGTTAAAAAAGCTCCATTAGCGTGCTAGAAACACTTTGATTATTGGTCCTCCTGTGTCCTATGAAATGTTTCTTTAAGAGCAAACTGCTTTTTTCCCCCTCCTCAAGTAAAAAGGAGTACATTTAGAGCATGCCAGGAATTATGTCATCCACCCATCTAGTGCCAACTCCACAGCCAAGAGAGCTGCAGTGAAGGAACATATAGTACTGTTTACCTCTTAAAAAAACTCAGCACCTAGCCTGATGCTTAGTGACACATTGATTGTCCTTAGTAACAATGTAAGCAATAGATAATTGAGGAGATAATAAATAACACATTTTCATACAACAGCACCAAACTGTTCGAAAAGCCCCTCTGTCTGAAATTAGCAGGCAAGCAGGATGTGTGGAAAGCATGGAGTGCATTTAAAAAGGACACAAAAACAATGCGGAATCCACCATTGACAGGAGTAAGGTCATATAGTCGCGCTCACAGATGTTTTTTAAAACCAGCTTGATAAGGGCCTGTTTGGGCTTCCCTTGTTACAGATGAGAACTGATAGTGAATGTCTTTCATCATACAAACAAAGACATCAAACCATCTGAGCAGGAAAGTATTCAGGGTAGAAAACAGTGCACATATGAACATGTGTTTATAAAGCACAGTTCCATGTATGAATGCATATGTGTGTAACCTTATTTCTCTGTTGTTTTTACGCTCCTGGCTCTCTGTATGTGTATGCATGTCTGTGGCTGTCTAAGTATGTGACACAGTGTGAAGAGGATGACAGGGCCTGAGCAGTCTGTGTGTGTGTGTGTGTGTGTGTGTGTGTGTGTGTGTGTGTGTGTGTGTGTGTGTGTGTGTGTGTGTGTGTGTGTGTGTGTGTGTGTGTGTGTGTGTGTGTGTGCGACTGTTCGCGAGGTCCTGTGGAGAACCGGCTCTGAGCGTTGACGTAATGCTTTGGCCGCCGTGCTGTGGAACTTGGCCTCCTCTCTGTAGCGTTTCCTCTACGCTGCGAGGGTCAACTATCCCACAACCTCCAGCACACAACACGCACCATTCTATTCCCCAGACCACAACAGAGCAGAACACAGCCACACCCGGCACCACGAGCACCCAGTGCTTCGCAAGAAAGAGAAAAAAACCCACTTGAACCAAAGCTAATAAAACACTCCCAGACAACCAGCTAAAAGCAACAAAAAAAAACATAAGTCGGCTTCGCTGCTCACTTTAAACGACGGCACTTAAGGAGAAAATCAAAGATAGAAGAGAACAAAGATGGGCACTGATGCAGATACAGTCTTTGGCCAAGATAGCACAAACAGAGAGCTTAGATATGAGTCCCCAAGGGGCCACAGCAGTCCTTCGGCTCATTAACTATTTACACCAGAGACAGGCCTCCCTGCTGCTCTGGCCCACCACAAAATCAATTAGGGTTCATTAGCCCGGGTCCTGGGCATGCTTTCTCTGGCAGGGGAGGGTTAATCCTGCTACCGAGGCCTCCAGTGACCACAAAATATCAAACAATCACACACATATGAGCATACATGCATGCACACATGCAGAGGGGCTTAGGAAACTAGGCTGAGCATGAAGTGCTTTTACGGAACTCACTCATAATTCTTCCAATTTCTCACTCTCACACAGTTTGGTGTATCAGAATATCGATACTGTCTCTCGCCTTTCAAATCCCCTGCTCACTTCGCCTGTCTATCTCTTTCCTTCATGTCTATCAAAGTCCCACTCAATCCCTTTCTTCGCTCTCACAATGTAAACGTTGAGCAGAAAGAGTGGGACCAGGTCCGTGCCTCGGGGGTGTGGGGTTACAGTGCGGAGATTTCCCATTGGTGGAAAGTCAACATGGTCGGGGTAATGCGATTAGAGCCGGATTGAGAACGTCGCAGGGGACACATGGGCCTGATCATGGCCCGGTTATCCGATAGCAGGGCCGTATTTATCGACGTGGCCAAGCGCGGATATTACAGACATTAGAGACCCCGTCTATGCTTATGAAACCCGCGCTGGAGATCGCACCCCGATAACACAATTAGTCTCTCACTTTCTGTCCACAATCATGGAATTCCATCAGTTTCGTTCAGACATCTGGGAGCACAATCTCAATTGATCCACAATTGGTTGCTGTGCCTCACGTCTGAATGGCCAACTAACCAGAAAGTTGTATGGTCGAGGGGCCTGTAGCCATTTAGTGACTGCATATGTTTATGGGAGGCCTACCAGAGCATTTACAATTCAATTACACAGATAGGGGTGGGGGAAAAAAGAGCAAGATGTGTCTGGATGACGGCCAGGGGAGAGATAAGCCTAATACACTAATATTGTGTTACCCCAGCGTGTTACCATAGGAACAGTTGAAGAGATTCAAAGACTACAAAGACGATCAATCTTGAGAGAGCAGGAGGAAGAGGGAGAATTAAATGCCCTGGGAATGCTCCCGCTCTCCTCTATCAGAGCAATAACTCTTCTAATGACCTCTGCTACCTCTCTCTCTCTCTCTCTCTCTCTCTCTCTCTCTCTGCAGAGTCCGCTATCAGTGAACCTTTCCAAACACAAAGAGCGGCCAATGTTTTTCATCATGGTTTGTGATTTTTATGATACCCAGATCATGACACTTGCTGTTATATCTTAATGTCTTAACCATTTTCAGGAATATTTATTTTGAAAACAAAGGTTGGCTGGTGGTCACGTTGCTACAGTATTAATCAGTTCCTATCACCTAGAGTGATACTGGTTATGCATTTGACATTAATCAGATGTAAACTGCATTAGCAGTGCCAACATGCAAAGTAAAACTGAGTGGAGGTTTATTTTCTCCTCAGCTTCTTCGTCAGTCAGCCTTCTAACTCTCACTCTCTCAGTCTCGTTCCCACCGCTCTAACTGCCTGCTTTGTGAAGGATGAGGTCATTCGATTTTTTCCTTGCTGTGTTAAACTAGTGCTAACAAGTTGCAGGACCTACAGAACATGTTCTGTACATTAAGATATACATCAGGCAGTCGGTGGGCAGCGCAGCCACAACCATATAAAGGGTTCTTTATTCCAGCCAGAGTCTCCAGTGCTGCACTGGCAGGTTCAGACACAGCTTTGATTACACCCCAAATGATGAAATCCACACAGACCTACGAGCACAGCCTTGCTGGCACAGCCAAGTGGAAAAGAAAGTTGCAACACTTTGAGTTTGAGTGTGTGCACTTGTGTTTGTGTGCATAAATGTGTACGTGTCCATGTTACTAGATGCATATACTCACCAGTTTGGCTTCTGAGTGCATGGAGGGAATGTGAGCGGAAGAGCAGGAGTTGTTGTGGGTGGGTCCTTGCATACCCATCATATTGGAGCCCATAGACATTTGTCCCTCCATCTGAAGATTACAACAGCATGATAATGTCATACTACATACTGTGGAAATGTTATTCCAATGCAAAAAGAACGTTTTCACAATATGAATCAATACAAAATATTAATTTCGCTATGATTTATGCTATTTTTACCCACAAGATGCTATCACTAGTTTTACAAAAGAGCATTTAAACCGTGAGACATCATGATTGTTCATGGTAAGCTGAGGGATGAAGAGATGAGAGAGTATCAGAGCCTGATTTCACATGACAGCTGCCCTGTGCACAGCTCTGTGTGATGATAACTGGAGCTGACCCAAAACAGGAAGCCAGCACGGAGGGACTTAACACAGGAAGCCGGTGCAACAGGGGTGTGTGTGTTTCTGATAATAGTGTGTGCAGTGGCGGTCAGACTGACACATCAAACCCCAGCTCCTCTTGGTGCAGGGTGTGTTAATAAAGTAAACGAGATGTAAGTAGGTGTGAGATAGTTTGTATGGATGCATTAGATGTGTGTTACTGCCTGCATCATAGTGACTCTGGTCAGTGTTGTCATGTGTCACAGCTGAGTCCTGAATGTGAGGAAATCAGCTGGTTAAGCCAACAGGGGTCAGAGGTCACTCGAGCAGGGCGATGATGTGAGCAGTACATGCAGGGAAGAAGAAAACCTCTGTGTGTGTTTCTGCATGCACGTGTGTGTGTGTGTGTGTGTGTGTGTGTGTGTGTGTGTGTGTGTGTGTGTGTGTGTGTGTGAGCTGCTGTGGCCTCCCAGCTGCTGAACTCTGGGTGGTGTGATGGTCTCCACGGGGGAATGGCCCCTCTCCACCCCCTTTGCCTGACCCCCCGCTCTCCCCCCCCCGTCCGCAGAGATTCAGTCCTAGAACCTGACACACAGCCTTAATTGCACTAAGTGTGTTTTGTGTAAAAATATCACCCAAACCTGCACCCCTTTCCTGAACCATCAATCTTCCCCAAAATCGCGTAGCTCTTAATTTAATAAACATGGGAGGTTTTTTTTTTTTCATACCATAAACAGAGGCTGTCTTGTGTTACAATGAGAACATATGTTGTATCATTAGAATCCTGATACGAGGAGCTTTCTTCGCGTTGTTATCATTCCCAGCTTCCCAATGTGGCTCTTGTCTTGCTGGCTTAATTACAAAAAAAGTCTACGTTCTAACCCAGAGATAGAATCCTTCATTTTTACAGGATATAATTTCCTTATAAACTGTGGTAAATAATTTGAATGGGGAGTGAAAACATCCAAAAGTAATGCATAGTTTATGTACAGTCTGAATTCACACTGTCGTCACATATGAGTAAGTGACTGCTGCATGTGTGAGTGAGCCCGTTGTTGTACTCACAGGCATCAGCACGGCGGAGGAGCCCGGCATGGTGGGGTCTGGCAGAGTTCCCGGCATAGAGGCAGGCAGAGGCTGTCTCTGTCTGTTTCGTAGGTGCAGCAATGAGGACAGAGAGCCAGGGACAGGCCTGGGAAGACACACACAGAGAGACATTCAGAGGACTTCAGGTTTCACACTGTTATAGATAACTGATGTTACTGCTATTCTTTATCATATAACAAAATCAACTAGCAACACCGCTATGGTGCTAGTTTGAACTTCTCCTGTCAGCCATAACTGTTGTGTAAACAAATAAAGACTGCTTGATTTTAACATAAATGTAACAATATCTGATAATATGTGGTATACAGGTTGAATATCACTTGTAGATCAAGGTCTACCATCTCAATGTATTACGGGTAGAATTTCCTAAATTGTCTTGACAGTAAAAAGGAAAAAAATATATATATATTTAATTAATTAATTATTAAAATATGAATTATTACAAGTAATGTATCAATGCATATACAAATACTACCTGAAAAATTGAGAAATATTTTATGAGATTATTTGTGTTATATTCATATTCATGATAATCTATCTTTAAAGGGAAAGTTAAAATAGTTGACAACATCGGCCTACAAACTACACTATAACGTGTGAAAAACCATTCATTTAGTGTTTCATTTCTCTAAATACATGCTGAAGTTCAAAACTTAATCCCAATCTATTTATATGCTACGTTACATATAGACAGAAGAGAACAAACTGGTTTAAACTTGAAAATAAATTCCCAAAGTTATTCATTTCACAACTGATCAATTTCTGTGAAAATGATTCCTGAACTTCTTTTTCATTTTCTACCAGTTTGTCCAACTCTAAAGACATAATGGAAAGCAGAGTGTGTGGCTGCGTATTCATGCTGCAGTTGAAAGCTGAGGCATCTGGCCATTTTTGGATTTACTTTAAACAAGTACATTTCATGTATTACAATGAATAGGGATGATGGCGATGATTAATGAATAATATTTGTCAAAACGACCACATTTTGTGCATGACAAGAGTCACTTTTGAGAAACTGCTTGGCGGTGGGAGCACTGTGTGGGGGGGAAATTCCCTCTTGCTGACCACAAAAGCGTGTGCGAACCAACAGGCCTATCCACACACATGGCCGCATTAATAAATCACATTTAAAGATGAGGCCGTGGCTAAACTTAAACTATTGACAGCAGTCTTGTCACAGTCATCGACTCAGGGCTGCGGCCATCCAAAAACATAATGACATCATTTATACAACTGCCTTCAAATCCCTGATGCAAGAACACTGATTCCCAGCTGCAGGGAGTTACACCACCCACATGCATACAGTAATAGTTCAGTCCTGAGTTTACAGAAACAGCATTCACTACTTGATTCTTAAACAACCTGTATCACAATAATCAATAAGTATCCAGTTCTAAGAATTCAGGATGAAAGCCAGTCAATAAAGCTCCATTTCCTAGAGCGATTAGAAGTTAGTGCAAACAAGACGCATTTAGGTTAATATAATCAATTGACCACATCATAGCCTGGATTACCGTAGTAGTGAGAAGTGAAAGAGTGATGGCCAAACGACGGGGGGGGGGGGTGGCACCAGCGCAAACGCTCCCCCACCTGAATAAATACCTGTATTTTTCCAGACCTAAATATGTGCATTTACGCTCCAGACATTTTAGATTGCTCCACATACACCCAGGACCATTACCATCCCGACTGTGTGTCATTCCTGTCTAACATCCCAATTTATCACAATCACACTCATTTAACAGGACGTATGACATCTGAGCAACGCTGCGAATCCAAACATTTCCACATGGGAAAAGTCATGAAAGTACAATGAGGTATGCAGTGTAGCCGCGAGCTACATCAACACAGTTTCCCTCTGCGTTTAAACTGCCAGCGTCCAGGAAGAAATAACAGTCACAAGGCAGAGGCAGTGACACGCTGTTGATTTTCTAAATAAAAACAGTTTTGCTGGATTTGTATTCAGTATGATGAGGGTTTTTCTTGCACTGCAGAAGTCGAATGAGATTTGTGGAAGATGTTTTTGACCAGAATAAAAAGCAAACACATCTTTAAAACTATGCTGTAAATCTTTCTCGATCTCTCTTAACAACTTGAAATTGGCTAATCCACAGGATCTAATTTAGTTTCAAAACTGGCTTGTTCAATACATCCAATTTATATTTGGATAATACTGGATACCAAATATTTAACACATTACAACGCTATCCTTCGCCCGCTATATATAGTGTGTGAGAAACAAAAATATTCTCTCTCATCTTTCAGACTACAACTGTCCTTCTTTATTTAAGATAAGACAAAACAATCCATCACAGCGCTAATTGTGACAGCCAACCAGCAAAGGTCAGAGGCTCAGGCAGGTCACTGGTTTTTGCAGGTCAGGCTCCCGCTTTCTAGAGAAGAAAGGCTCCTTTGAAGACTGTACAGGTTGAGCTGCTGGGTCTGTCACCTGCAGCAGAGCAGGGGGAGGACAAACACTGCGTCCTTCACCACCACACACACCAAAACACAACGTGGTTGTCCAGTGGGCGGAAAGATCTGACAGCACTTCCTCCGGGGATTAACTCAGCTTTGTGTTAACCTCTGCTAATAGATACAGACGTTTCAGAAAATAGCCACTATGAAAAAGATCGATTGAATCTGTCTTATTGTAAAGAGCATTTCCACAATTGTTTTTATCAAGACCAACAATGTTTATTCATTTTTTTTGTTTTACAACTTTGCCCTAATATAGATAGGTTGAAACCGGCCAGTGTTTTCTTTCTGTCTAAATAATGGCTTTAAAATAAACAATATACACTTTCTTTATTTACTTAAATATATGTGTTTCTATTTGTATTTCTTCAATTAGTTGAATAATTTCATTAACTCAAACACATGTCAGCTGCAGCCCTTAGTATCCACACACATTACTCTATTGAAATGCATAATGTCAGCTGTAGCTTGTGATGCAGGGTGTCCATTATCAAAAAATACCTTATAATAATTGAAGTGGTTCATCTTCTCAATTCTTGTCTGCCTTCTGTGTTTGTGCACCAGAGTGTACAAAGATTTTAACAGATTCATGTTGGGCCTGTTTGTGTGTGAATAAGTCCATGTTCCAGTGTGTGCATGTGTGTGTATTCATGTGAGTGAATAATGACAGGCTGTGGCTCCACTGAGGGGATTGATAATAGCCGGGCTGGGGGCCCCAGGGGAGAGCAGGTAGACACTCTGCAGTCCTGACCCTGCACTCTCACATTACTGAGTGCCTCGCTTTCAGCCCGGCTCTCCTCCACAATCCCCGCCCAAGAACCACCACCGCACCACCCCTACACCCCACCTTCGCTCCACCATGACATCACTGCTAGACCCTTCTTCTTTCCCTGAGTCTTTCTTTTGCTTTTATCTCTTGTTCCAAAGTTTATTTCTCTAAGTTATCCTGCGATTTCCTCTCTTGTTCTTCTCCTCCTGTCATTGTCTTGGTAATCCTCTATAACTCTCTTCTGGACCCTTTAGAGTCCCCACACCTCAACTCAAGCCCCTCTGGATTTGCTTGCTCTAACCTACAAATCCTGCAGTTTGCACACACACTAAGCTTTACTGCTCCAATCCCCACAGTCCCAACTCCAACACAAGCACTGGAGACTTTAAACACAGGGGCTTGGCCGCCGTCCAAGAAGAGCAAGAGCGGGAGAGAGAGGTGCAGTCAGTCCACTGACTCATATCCTTCCCTTTCTGACTCTGCTCCAGCAATGATGTAATGCTTTTGGCTTTTCGCCCTCCCCCACCCTGTGCCTGCCCACCCCCAGATTTCGTCCCTCCCTCCTCTCCTCATGCTTTTCCCTCTCTTTCCCTCCTCGACTGGTCCAACATCTCTGCGCTCACTCTTCGCTGAGTGAAGTCACTGCGAGCTCCGGGTATACACAGCAGCTAAAAACTTTCGAACGTAACCAAAACAGCCCAGGGCCAAGTTCCAGACGTTCGGGAGACGGTGGTGCAGTCGCCATGGGAACGGAGGTAAACAGAGGGAGAAACAAGGGCCTCAAACAGCTTGCAGCTGCCTGGCTCTCTGAGTAAACACTACACAGGACCTGCCCCTGATTTACTGCCTTTAATCACTGGTGGGAGGAGAGTGCCATGGGGTTTGGACTGAGGAAATAATATGAATCTGATCAAATAAATCAGCCCTAATGGGTTACGACACAGGCTGACTTTTATTAGCGGGCTAAAGGAGGGATGGATGTCGGGAGGGCGCTGCGCTGGGATGGATTTGGGATGGGGTGTCCTCACACTAGGGAGCCTCAAGCGGAGCTTAGCCGCGTCAAAGCACAGTTGAGAAATGGCGGTGGTTTTAACTCTGGAGCAAATTAGCTTTGTGGTATTTGTGCACCAAATAGATGATGGTTTTCTTTTCTTTTCAACGAAAGTAAAAAGCATGCCACTACATTCCTATCAGCATGAATCAGAAATAACACATCTTGTTACAAGCAAACCTGGCATCTGTCAGCAACACCTGACTGATGTTGTAACATTTGGCTAGAGCGCCCCTTTCACTTTCAATGATACTTCATTTTCTCCCTCTTCATCTGCTATAATGTGATTATTAATTAACCTGTTTGACCCTCTCTTTCTTAACTAACTTCTCATTCTCTCATCCAACCCGATGCCGTCTTCCACTATCAGTCTGATCGTTCTGATCTATTTCAATTTCCATCCTCATTTTCCTTTTCAAAATCTTAGTGAATTCTTTCCCACACCTTCATTCTTTTGATTGCACTTTGTTCACACTTCCATCCAAACATGTCCATATTTTCCTTTTCCCTATGAAGGCCCGACTGGTCTAGAACACCCATGTCCCCACATGTGATGCCTCTCTTCTCTCCCTCTTCCACCCTCCTGATCCTTAATTTCCTCTCCTCCATCTACCTCCTATCCCCCTCTTCCTTTCTTCCATCCACCTCTGATCCCTTTCTTCCTCTGCTCTGTCCACCTCTGATCCCCCTTTTCCACACTTCCCTGCGCTGTGATCCCTGCGCTCCCCAGAGCTGTGAGGCCTGTCCCTGTGTGTGAGTTGCTTGTGCAGGAGCCTGCATGTGTGGTGGCCCCGGGGCAGGGATGACACAGCCCCGCTGGAATGAGAGGGAACAGAGTCTGGGCGTTCCTCTAGAAACGCACTATTAAACCCACTGCAGTACACAATGAGCTCATCTTAATTCAGGTCAGATGTACATCCTGCATTCTCTCTCTTTGCTTTTCTCTTGTTCCTTTTATGTAATTGATTATATTGTATACCTTTGTTTTTCTGTACCTTTGTTTATGTGTTCTTTCCTTTCCTCTGCCTGCTCCTACTCCATGTGCATTAACCCTACAATTAGCCCTACTTTCACCCATATTTATCTGTGGAGAAGGGCATTTGTCAAGTTAGAGCATGAGGGCACCTCAGGCATTTGGTAGAGGTCCCGCACTCCTGCTCTCAAGGCAGACTTCCCTCCTTATCACCACTTTGTGAATGCAATCTAATCATAAACAATAATAAGGAAAGTTTTGTTTGAATTGTGAAGTTCAAGTGAGGTCAAAGTATGTCCACGAAAAGCCCATAACTCTCCGTAGAGGTGTGGAGACTTTCTCTGTTCTGGCGCTGGTACAATGGGTGTTGAAATCAACATGGTTGTTTTATCACATGCTTGGGAAAAAAAGTGTTATGCAATCTCTAAAAATGTGATATGGAATGCATCCTAGAATCATAAAAGCTATCAGCACAATACTGTACGCTACCATTGAGTAATTGTTCCGTAACTTCAGAAGTATTATATGTAAGTATATTTTCAAAATATACTGTATCTGATAGAAAATTCAAACACTTTAATTGCAAACAATTGAAATTACTTAGTCATAGTTTTGCTTTCAAGTTAGACTTCAGATCTGGCTGAATTTATATGATGATCAATATTTATGTTAAGCCAAAAGGAATTTAAATGTGATCAGTGAAAAATATTCTTCATGAGATCTTTTACCCGGTGATTCTTGATAATCAATCCGCATATCACCAGATCTTCTTCAGAAAACACAGGAAGTTTAAATGCGTCGCCCTATACATGAGCTTTCTATGAGACCCCGCTGTTTTGAAGGCATGCAAACCAACATCTATTTCTGCTACTTCTCTTAAAGGCAAAAACGAGGAACTGAAGGGGCCGATAGCTCTGAGGTGTGAAAAATATTGTGCATTTAAAGCATCATGGGAAATATAACCACAAATTGACTTCCTACAGAGCTTTGCAAGCTCATGTGACCAAATTAAAGTTGCACAGCAATAGCAGGGTGGGAAATTACCAACGAAAACATGAGTCCTCTGTAGAAACTTGAAAGAAGTTGCTTTAAGAAGCTGCTTTAAAAATAAAAACAAACTGTCTATCTCAAATTGTCACAGGAATAGAATGACACAAACTTCTCCTAAAAATCACTTATCTAAGGTATCAACGACAGTATCACCATTTTATAAAAGCACCTGTTTTCATACACGGCCAAAATTGATATAAATGATTTAGGATTACATCATCGTAAATTGATGATCAGGTATTTTACAAAAACTCTACAGTAATCACTCCTCACCAGCTGCATTCTGGTTGATTGTGCTATGTAATGGAAAATAATGGACTGAGTTCCTCTTCTGAGCCAGAATAAAAATAAAAAAGATGTTTAGTGCCTCCTGCCAACACCCATACCCGCACATCGCCCCTTGCGAGTTAAAGGGTGAGGTTTCCACAGAATGTTGTATCTCACTTGGTTGATTGGGAATGTCCAACGTATTTAACTCTGACACAATTCAGCACCAGATGTTTATAATTGAAAAACAGAAAACATTCGAATGTGTTGGACGCTGCTTTTCTTTGTATGATAATGATAGCCGTGACATTAAATTCTGCTGGCTGGTTTCTTGTGCCTGGACTTAACACTGGTTTGTGTCAGTGCGGCTCCCCAAAGACTTTGTTAAGGGACTTGGAGCAGGAGGAGAGAGAAACAGAGAGAGAGGTCCTCAGGTTTCACAGCTGCAGGCCGTGCTCAACCCTAAAGTAAATGGACTTGACGAAAGCCAATCCTAATTGATTCCAAGCCTCAAAGCTCTTTAGTAAACATTGTGGAGCAATGAAAATGACTTGTTATCCTAATTCATTGGATGCTCACGCCGCGCGTTCAGAAAACAAAGGAGGCAAATGGAGATGAGGTTAAACTGAATTTTTTGGGTGATTTTCTTCTAACGTAGAGATATATTAACCATAACAATTACATTAGCAGGTCAATAAAGTTGATCAAAAGCTGTATAGCCGTGTATGGATCACATAATCAAATAAGAGTGCTTAACTGACTAGGATAACATTTTATAATACTCTCTCAGATTATTATGTTTAAAATGTAGCATAAACATTTGCACAGGCAAGAAGAGACATGGGAAATCAAACTTATTGGAGACTACAGTTGAAGTGGCTTAACATGACAACAGGGAACCCTTCCTCTGACCTTCAGTAGTGTCTCTAACACTCAATCAGGACACTTCACTAGCCCGTGAAGTGTCCAGTTGTTCTGTGTGTGGGAAGTTCCTGTGGAGAGACCCTGTGCTCGGAGCCTTTGGTTGGCCCTAATGGCTTCCTGTGGAAGCGCTGCTTCTCAGCAGAGGGGTTTCCTAAACTCATTTTCCTGCTGATGTGAACATTTCCAGGCTTCTCGTGTGAATCTACCCATCCTATTCATGTGTTACACCTTCATAGTAAACAAGTTACGCTTCTGCAGGTTGAGCACTTACAAGCACTGCGCGGGAAATTCCTCAAATAATATGCCACTTAAAATATAACTGAGGCTTACAGTTTTAAACTACCACTTTATCGCATGCTCTGATTAGTTTTTAATGACAGGTGAAATCAGGTGAAGCAGGCACAGAAGAGTCTAGGTTACTGGCTGTGATTTCTGCTCCTCCAAGGGAGTGAAATTCCATCCCTGTCCTGGACAAAGAGCCTGACGGGGTGTCAGTCAGGCTTAGTGATGGGCCTCACATCCAATATTCACAAGCTCCTCAAGCTGTAAATCTACACAGGACAACCTCAACACAGCACAGGCCTTACACTGAGCCATCTCAATGTCTAACGTGCCTGTCCTACCACAGGTCTGGTTTACAGTAACAAAGCCCTGGCACATGTTTCAAGGTGGTTGGGGTAAAGGCATAAGGAACAAATGAGGTCAGTGGAGTATCTCTATAACATCCAACAGCTTATTAATGTGTGTGTGTGGTCATGATTATGTTTTTGAGATATAAAGACAAAAAGTCACTATTACCTTTAAAGACCCATTATGGTTTAATTTAAAAAACCATATAGCTTAACCACACACAGTATGGAGATATTAATCATCATGGTCTGATTATGACTGCAATTAAAAATCCTTTAAACTTCATGAAAAAGTTTCTGACTGTGTGAGATAATAAAGCAGCACACCACTCAGATTGCAGTCTATATCAGCTGGTTGTTTTACACCTGTAACAGGGCAGTGCATCAGAGAAACAGAGCTATAGTTGCGGCTGACATTCCCATACAGTTAAAGGATCTATTTTAGAGCATGAAATGCTAAACCGCAGTAAAAGCAGTCACAGCTAAGACTTCAACAATGAGCTCATCTTGTCCTCCGGGACCCTCTTTGGCATGTTCTGCTGTGGGACAATACTGAATGGACAGCAAAACATGAATTGCAAGCCCTACACTCGCTGCTCCAAATGTAACAAATCCCTGACATTACCTCAGAGACTACGGAGGGATGACATTCCTCATGGACACGAAAGGGTATAACCTAAGACTGTCAATCTTACAGGGACGCACTTGAAGTGAAAGGATACATCCTCACACTCCACAGATAATTAACAGTCTGTCAGCAGTTAGAGCAGTGCCTCTACCACTCAGTCAAAGATTCAAAAATAAAAACCCACAAAAAACGAATTTCCCTTCTTTTTCTCTTACGAGTTTAATAATAATTTTAAAAAAACCTTTGGCATTTTACTGGATTCTTCGGCCCAAGCCTACTCACCCTATCTGTCTGTTGGTGGATGGAGCCTGAGTGATGACGGAGCTGGACTGAGGGGAGGGCAGGGCCTGCTGGATCACGATGCTGGTGTCATGGTTGCCCATCCGCGAGTGGGACTGCTGGTGCTGGCCTGACTGACCATGCAGCGAGATGGTCTGCAGCGAGGGAAGGGGAGAGAAAAGCAAGCAGAAAGTAAGGAAACTGTCACATTTTTCCCAGCTGAGGGAACGTTTTACTTTCAGCACAACTCAAACACTTCATCTGTTTGGATCGGTAATGAGGAACATTGTAGGCTATCATTCCCAGGCTGTTGCTGCATTGAGGAAACATTAAGAGTCTAATGAAGACCATGCTTCCTTATTGTTTTGTAGCCCAGCAGGCCCATTTGTTTGTTTTACCTGTTTGTTACATGTGATCTCACATATAGTACATCCCAAAATAACCATGTGCATTATTCAACAAAATATGTCTGAGCTCAACGCACATACAGTATCTTGGCATAAAACAAACATCAAGTTGAAGTAATTTGCATTGAGTCAAATGAGAAACAGCCACAGAGAATGATCAAATACAAAAAGGAAAATACAGGCAAAACTTTTCATTTCTGTACAATTGCATTGTCAGTCGCTTTGGATAAAAGAGTCAGCTAAATGATATGTTATATACGTGCCCAAGTGAAGGAAAGGTAAAAACAAAGTTTATCAACTACACTTCTCACTCTTTACAGACACACGACTATTGGTAAAATTAATATATGACTATTAATATTCATAAAGGCCGATTGCTGTTTTCTTCAAGTTTTAAGCTCCCACTCTGTTTATTGTGATATGCACTTTTAGAGAGTCTTGTTCCGACTCGCCTCCTGCTGATTCAGCAGAGCCTCCCATCATAAACCACACAGGCTGGGGAGGCGAGACAAGGCTGACCTGAGCACAGACGAGCTCCAGAGCCAAACCACCCAGCCGACAGCTTAGCTGCAGCCTGCTCTGCACATCTCTCCAGACATTAGATAAGCAGTCTGTCTTGTGGTGATTTGACTAGTACCTATGTTTCAGGTGAAGCTGCCTCAAGGTGGATCTATAATGCATAAATGACCACGTCTTTGGTCGAATGTGAAAATGTCTGGCCAGGTCATAAACGTTGTCTCAGGGGTCTGCCTGTATGTCTGGGAGGAAATAGGACTCTCTTCATGAGAGAGCGCTGGAGAGCTGTTTGAAGTTACAGGTGGAGAACCTGATCTTCTTTCTCCTCGTCTGTAGTTGGTGACAAATCTCCAGCTGCTTACCCTGTCCGTCACTGTCAACAAGACTGGTGGGGATCAGTGAGTGCAACAGGTAAAAACAAATATTACGTTGAAATATAGGAGGTGTATAAATATCTGCGGTCATCAGTTTTTTGAACAAGCTAGCATAGTGTGGTTAAATGAGGTCAAGGTGTTGCAAATCTATAAAAAATGGTGTACATCAGCTCGTAGTGTGTGGGCTGCCGTTGGTGACATGACTGATGATGGCAGCAGATAACAGTTCATAACCACCTGACCTAACCCCTGTGGGTGGCTGAGGGTTCACCTTGTTTTTTTTTCAGCCTGAGGCTTTTTTTTCTCACAGTACCTGTTTACTGTCCTCTTCTTCCTGTGCCTTGCAAAACTCCTGCTCAATGGAGCAGTCCAGCTCACTGAACAATCCCACCTCCTCACAGTTCTTCAAGAAGCGTGTTGGCGTGGGCGTCTGGTCTGGAAATCAAAGACAAGGTTTTTTAAGTTTTACCTTCAAATCAACAACTGTTAATAGTGTTTGTCAGGCTGCACATACAACATGATCGTGGACAGCAAAACACTACAGCTTATGGAGTAGAGCAGCATGCTAAATTATTATTAACATAAATGTCAGCTTTAAGCTGCATTTCATCTGCAACCCATTGGCAGGTCACCATTGCAACAAAAACAAAAAGGACAAAACAGCAGCAATCCAAAAGGACACATGATACAATAATACACAACACTAAATGACACGCTATGTTAGCAAGACATACTGTATATGTTAGATTTGTTATAATGATGTCATCAGATTTGTTTGTTTTTCTATACTTTTTTATGTGTTTTTTGCTAAATGTGTTAACAAAAAGTACTATCAGGAGACGGGGGTTGAAGTGTGGGAGTGTCTTAAGCAAAATTCTGTTTATTCTTGTTATTTTGGGGTCATATGGACCACAGTTCGACTACAAACTCAATGCAGATCTATATTGATACGAAAGTATAATAATAGTGTATTGTTGTTCCGTATTGCAATGATTTTAAGAAAGAAAAACACTCCATTCTGTTAGCGAGTGAGAGATACTGTGCTTGGCAGCCCCATTCCAGCTGATAAGGTACAGATCCCACCTACTGAGTGGGGGTCTCATTTGTTGAGCTCGGTCAAGCTGTGGTATTCAACTTGACGTTGTGGGGGGTGCACAGGGATCAGGTTTCAGACAGTTGAAGGTGATTTTAGGATCAGGCTTGTTTCAAAGGCTAAAAGCATACTTCATGGTCTGTTTATCCATTCTGGCTAGACTGAGGATTGACTCAAACCTTCAACATGACTTGTTTAACCAAAATACAGTTCTACTACAAATAAACTTCTTCCATTTCGAACAGCTCAAGCTTTATAAATAAAAAGGAGAGTCAGGTCAATTTTTTGTTGAGGATAACAAGTATGAGTCAATGGGGCAGGGGGTTAAGTTTGGGTCGACAGTTATATTACTCACATTTTAAGCGGAGACCGTTTAGTCATCAGCTTAGAGCAATGTGTTGCTGAGCTAAAATAACATACCATTTACTTTATTCTGAGTTTAAGGTCTCTAAAAGAGAAATGGTCAGAGATGTAATTCAGACAACAAGCGATAAGAACACCCGGCCTAGAAAATCTGATCCTGCTGTCCACTGAGCGTAAATAATAGAGAAGACACAATCACGGTGGCGTGGCTTTCATCTAGTGTGACCTGGCTGTTTCTAGGAACGGAGATCTATACTTATGGATCGGCCTTGGGTTGACACTTGTAAATGTAGCACACAATCTGTGTTTCTTTGAACAGTAGATGAATGCGCCGATCAGCATGTCACCTTAGGCGTATACACAACAATAACCTTAAAACAAATGTTAACCATCTTCCCCTACAGTGGGATCAAGACTAATTATTTATCTAATATATCATATTCCAATTACTTGTATATAGTCTCTCCTTGCACTATTTCTATTATATTTTATTTGTACTTACTTGCACTATTTGAACTATTTGATCTGTTTTATTGTGTTGCACTGTTGGAGGAGCCTGTGAGAGATTTTCATTGATATATCTACACTGTAGCCATGTACACATGACAATAAAAGCCTTGAATCTTGAATCTAATGATGATGGGAAAAGTTAATCCCACTTTAGCTTTACACGCTTATTTCTCCAGACACACGTCATCACCTCCTGAAGTGTGCGTAAAGTGCTATGCCCTGAACAAAGCTAAAGGTAACGTGTGTCCTATGATTTACATTTCTGTAAACAACTGGTATAGACACGCCATGAAGTTTTCTGATGATAGACAAGTGTGTCTGACTCGGATGAGTCACTGAGGCACACACCTGCAAAGGAGCTGCATGTTTCCTCTAAACTCTGCTGAGGTAGTGTGTGCGTTTGAATTGATGTAGCCGTAACTCACCTGATAACATGTTGTCGTTCTTTATGGAGGGGAACTTAAGGGTCATCTCATGTTTGTGTCTATGTATCATCAGATGGTCCTCCGTGGGGAACCGCTGTAGATTTTTTTAAAATAGGACCGTAAGAATTGTATGTAGAAAGACAACATTTCACATTTCAACTGTAAAATCTTCAAATAGCACTTGGCAATATGGAGACAATTATAAATCAGGATAATGTTGAACAAATACCTCTCTGTCAATATTGCAAAACTATTGTGCAATTGACTATTGGTGCATTCACATAATCTTTAGACGATGAGATTTTGATAGAAAATATTCAATATAATACCAACTTTAAAGAGCATTTGTTTTTAAAGGGTATTTTTACACCTGAAGGGTTATTTACACTTTGTGTTTGCCTCATTTCAATGCTATTTTGTTTCTCCTCTTTGCGTGAGACAGTAACCCACTCCTCAGTGTTTACCTATTCATATTACAGGCACACATACACACACACACACACACACACACACACACACACACACACACACACACACACACAGGGTGTTGTGGTTCTCCCCACACACTCACCTGAGAACAACCAGGAGCGTTGCACACGTACGGCCTTTCCTGGTCTGAGTTCATCACTCTGCCCACCTTCTCATAAAACTACAAAAAAACAGACAAAAGGAGAAAGCAAAGCGAAACATTTAATGACTTGAATTTCCCCTGCGAGCATCAAGGGGGGAAATGTACACTCCTTGTTTCACGCTAATAATGGAACAAAAAATACACATACGTAGATAATTTGTTTATTTTCTTAAATTAAAAATCCAAAAATCCCAAAAATGAAATGATAGACCAAGTGTGAAATTAGCAATCAAACACAATGTAGAAATCACAGTTTCAACAAAGTGTTTATTTTCACCACAAAGTGACAGAATCTAGCACATTGCGCTGGTCTGACAGCTACAACTACTCGTTTACTTTCCACCTACTGACAAATCTGTGCTCTATAAGCATTTGCTCAATACACCACAGCCACAGCCACGCATCATGTCAGGTGTGCAATGGATTCGGTAAAAATTTGAGCTACTTTAATAATTTGGAGTGAAAAAGAGGACCCACTTTCCCAGAAAGGAGGAGTGCCTCGTACGTATCTCTGTTAATAAAATACAAAATGATACCAGTCACATAAATATTAAAGGCCGATATCCTTTCACAATTAAACTAAAGAAACTTAATCATATACACAAGGATGCATTCTGCTTCAAAGATATATGAAAACAGCTCTATTATAGACTATATTTGTGACAGGATGAAAGAGAGAAAAGACCAGAAAAAACAAGTGCATTTTATAAGCTTCTCAAGATCAAACCAAGAGCACAACAAATGATAAAGTCTTTAAAGGCCTCCATGTGCACTCTAATCATTGAATGTATTTGATGCCCCACTCACAGTAGAATATTTAAACCATTAACATTTACAACAACTTCAGAATTGACCCAGCAAATAGTCTAGAAAGAAATCTAGAAATATTATTCTACTATTATATTTATAAAAAGCATATTTATTAAAAAAAGTTAACCAATATACACAGTAACTGGTAAAGGAACCTAATCATTTTTTTAATACGGACTGTATTGTGTTTGTAGTAAACATTAAAAATCGATGCAAGTTTAGGTGAATTATTTACATAAGGAAAATCGTAAAATAAAACTCCTTAACATTAACGTATATAAATATTTTTGGGGGCTTTATCCCTTTACCTTTACTTCAATATCATGTTTGATGACTGCTGGCTACTGTGGCTATTTTACGTATTTATTTTTTCTAAGTCTTATCGTTCAGCACAATGCAGTGTACTACAATTATTCTCATCGCTGTCAAACACAAACAACCTCTGAGATGTCAATACATGCCAGGACTACAGATGTTAGGCACTTACTGACAGATGTTTTTACAGATGTTTAGTGATGACAAGTATTAAGGTAGTCTTTAATAATCACAAGCCACAGGGGAGCATATTTATCTTCAAGCCGGTGTGTTTATCATTAGCAAGACGTTTCTTAATTCTGAACATGCAGGTCGTTTGGTTTGCAAACTGGGAATAGACATTCAAACTCTGCACACAAAGATCCATGTGAGGAGTGACCAAAGCCGCACCGAGACAAGTGAACATCCAGGGTGTCTGGAGAAGCACATTGTACTCTAAAGAAAAAAGTGAAGCAAATGAAAGACATTTGCGGATAAAGAATTGACGGCCCACAATGCATCGTCTCTTTTTTCTGCTGTTTCCTTTTTTCTCAGTCTCCCTCATGTTACTCTGATCTAATCCCATCCCAACCAACATCCTTATAAAGTTTTTCATCATGTATGTTTTTGATAACAAACTAGTTGCAGTACCCTACAGCTCAATTGTTTATCACACACATGCAACAAATAGTTTATTCTCCTCTATCAATTCACAAAAACGCATCCGAAATCCAAGTCAGGGCCAAGCATCACGTGTCAAGCATGAATACCTTCATACACTATGTACATGTGTGTCTTTTTCACGGGTACAGACTATTTCCTCAAGCACAGTCAAAACACTCAAATATTGTGTTATGCTAAGCAGTGCTGTTTTCCTAACAAGCTGTGCTTCATGAGCGAGCCTGCAGAACAGGGTCTGGACAGGGTCTCTCTGTCAGAGAGCAATGAGCCCTGCTCTCTCTTTCTGTCACCAGTTCACTACTGCAGGGCCCCTGAAAACTCACCTGGTTTCCTTTGACACAACAAACATGACTAACACTGCTGATCCTAACTCTGAACTTAAGCTGGATCGAGGATGGAAGTAGGAATGAAGAACAACTGCTTCAAAAAGCTGATGGACATGTCAAAGATGTTCTCTACACTTTAGGTCACATTTGTATTTGAAATACAGTTACATCGAACTTTCAGATGTTTGTGAAACTCTGGTTGCCGCTGTCATTTTCCGGCTTTTTCCTGTACACCTGTACGACTTAATTCTAAAACTCTACAATGAATCGCAAATAAAACTGATGTCACCAGAAAGCATTAATAAGAAAAAAAGGAAACAAAGTATCAATTACGATGAAAACACATGCAAAGGTTTAACTTTTACCTTTCTGTTTCTAAAATGGGACTTGGTCATTTTATAACTTTCAGGAAATTTGAACCATATGATGCATAAAACTCTTAAACATGAATTCTGTGAATGCCTGTGTGAATTATCCAATAGCTTTCACACTTAAAATGATCAGTACTCAACGCCCCTTTCCTTGGAAGAGGCACTTGGCTCTCATTTGATATAGATGTTTTAGTTTAGCAGAGGAAATTTGGTTACACTTTACATTAACTATATCCTGATGTGTGCGAGGGGAAGGATTAGGGCCTGGCGTTCGATTTCAAGAGAAGCTGGGGAGGAATTCTCCAGGTATGCCGCTTATTAGAATTTAAACAATATGGTGAGGAAAAGAGGGGTTGGGGTGCAAAGGCATATGGGGTTAAAGCAAGCACAAACATGCACAGCAATTCAAATCTCCAGCTCCCCATAGCCTGGGCCTTTGACAGCACAAGTTCAAGGTAGGATCACGGCAAACCCTGAGGCAGGGAACTTGGCCTCCTTAGACAATGTCTGCCCTGAACTCCTGCTCTTTGAGTGAATGAATGCCAAAAAAGACTGATGTGAGACCTAAATACCTATCAATTACTGGTCTGTTTCACAACATGTAAACTTGTAACAAATGCAAAGAAACCCCTCAGTGGGCTAACACTCACGCTATTTCTCATTATACCATCACTAGAATAAAGGAAAAAAGTCCCCGAATGAAATGATTAGAAGGTGTACGAGTTAACCTTATAATAAATGAGCAACAGTTTTTCAAAGGTGAGACGTATGTGACAAAAACTCTTGATGGGTGTTGTGATTTTTGCCATCCGACCTATTTCTACATTAGTATAATCCTCACCAGAGGAATGTTTCACCTTGAGCACAAGCAGCACCCATCAACAAATAAAGGTCACATTTCATTACTGCAATGAGCCGCTGCACTGCAATCAAGCTGAGCATTGTGTAAAATATGTGAAGAATTAGATCTGCATCAAGGTTACCAAAGATAAGGTTATTGTCACTGACTAGAGTCCTTGCTGTTTTTGATGTTTTTATCTAATTATTCAGAGTTGTATGCTTAACGTTCTTACTTGACTTTTCACTTCAGCAGAATATTACTAAAATATTCTACAAATACAAATATATGTTATGTAGGCTATTATTTTCATTAAGGTAAAATGTTTTGATTCTCCAACGTTTTTGTATTCCTTTTGCAACAAAGAATTGGAAAAGGTGAAAGATCATATCTTCCAAACTTTTCCTCAAATGGTTGCTTACATAAAAACTTTAATTTAAATTATAGAAGTTAACGAGCATAACATTATGTGCATGTTTTTAAAAGCATTTTAAGGAGAAAAATAAAATTATCTTAGTCTAAATGAAATGAAATTATCGGAATTATTATTAACATCATCCTGAAACGTGTCCTTACTATCAGCTGCTATTTACACAGCCAATTAAAAGGGGACACAATAAATCCGGCATCCGTCACATTAATCTAAAACAGCGTGTATGAGAAAAAAGTGGTTATTGATAGTGTTGTCACATAAACATAATGACAGCGGAGAGTAATCAAATGATTAAAACATCTTTCTTTTCCCCCCAAGCCGTACAAAGCGCGCCTCGTCAGCACAACCTTCCTGAAAGTAACCCTCAACATCTCAGCGGTTAATCAAATATCGACTGGCCTGCAGAATGACGTAATGTTGGTCACATTGCTGTTTAAGACAAAAAATGGAACGTACATTTCACGGGACCAGGAGCATTACTATTTTTCTTTTTAACCGGCATGACAGCAATCCTTTTCCGGACGATCACTGGTGAGCTGCAGCGCGTTCAGTCCGGGACCGACACCGGCTATGCGTATCCCGAGATGGGACAGCAAGGCAGTGATGCAGGGAACCAACTTTGGTGCTATGGAGCAAATAGAACATCTATAAGACGAGCCAAATTGCTGTGAAATGCAATGAAACCATCCGTTGCAATGACACTCGCTTGTTTTACAGTCGGACAAATTCCTGCAGACTGGTCCCCGCTGCTACCTGCCAGCGAGCAGCAGCAGCAGCAGCACTTGACTCCGCGTTCAACTTCCACAACAGTCAACAGATAGGCCGACGCACGGACAGCCAAGTGAGATGACAATGCACCTACTCTCACAAAACCTACATGATCTATTCCCTCTTACACTTGCAAGCATTCAGGAATTGAGAAACAATTAGAAAAAAATAAAATTAGAGCAGGGCTGCTGAAGCGAAGAACAAAACAAGCTGTTGCATGGGAAAAAAATGAGAAAAAGTAACAAGAAACGCTTTAAACAAACACAACAAACCTGCAGGGGCGCGTGCACGGTCCTCTGCATGCTGGTGTGAGGTTTTCAACTTACCAAACAAGTGTAGAAAAATGTGAAGCAGTCTCTGAGAAGAAACCACGTTGGACTGAGAAAAGATTACAATACGATCTATTTAGAGAAGCATAACGTCACCCCCGGGTGACGTCACGTGGGATTCCTGAACTTCTAAATCATTGCGGTCCGCTTGGAGGCGGTGCGAGCGGGGCGGAGTTTAGAAGAATGCACACCCAGAGGCATGGACCGACAGTGCCGGAGCAGAGTGGGTGTGGCGCGAGGATGGAGCTCCAGTACTGACCAATTAGCCATGCAAATGAGATCTGGACTGCATTAACTGTTAACTCTAAGCAGTCCCATAAGCAAAGTGAAATATGAAGATCACAAAACGTCATCATTTTAAATACAATACTGGCCTTACTATATAGTAAATACAAAAAGGTTAAGTCAAATAGCATACTGTAATCATTTAAATAGCAAATGATAGTCCTGCTAAGAGGCGAATAAAATGTAGTGTTTGTTCACTACAAACAAACACTTTTCAAAGTACAGGTGTTACAGTTACCATTAACGACCTCACCTAAGCCCTCATGCACATACGACCCTGGAACTGAAGCTGCTAAATTAAATTCAGCCATCATTAATTTTTATTATTTACACCTGTGCTTTAACTACTGTGACATGTAAAAAGATCTAGTGTGAAAAGGCCTTATTGGATTAATTATATACAGAGAAAAAAAAGGATACAATACTTGCCTTTCAGTTAAACTCCAATATTATGTCAATGTGTGTAGGGAATTGTTTGCAATATGAAGCGATGGTGACTAACCACCTGTATGTCCAGGTGGCTGTCTGTAATGCACTGACAGTAATGGCTGGATTAACCTGCCATGGGGCCCGAAGGCAAAAATGAGCTGCTGAGCTACTATTAACTCCCTCCATCCCTCCTGCCCTCTGGGGAATGTGTATAGATGGATTACTACATGGTTTCCAATATGCTTTGTGCTAATTTGATAAAAAACGAATTAATGTTTAAGTATTCAACATGTCAACTCAAAACTGATATTAACAGATTGTTGGATAGAAAGGTCTTCAAACTGATTTTTGACACATGACCCACTTCAGACATGACTTGCCTAAAGAGAAAAAAATATATATATTATTCAGTGAATCATCTCTATTAACTAACAAACTAATTTCGTTTTGTTTTTTTATAATTAAAAAGAACATTTGTCTCACAAATGGGTATCTTGCTGTCGTCGTATCCATCATCAAGCTTCACTAGCAAATGAATTGAATGTGGGAAACCCATAGTAGTTCCACACTGCCTTTCCTTATATGTGCCTTAGCTACAGCACATTAAAAGAGATTTAAAGAGCTTTGGAGTACAAAGCGTTTGTGTTGGAGCTCTGTGTGACCTGCTGGGGCCAACTGGCTGTGATTTCTTGGGCCACAGACACCGGTAGTGAAGCCGTTCTCTGCTTCAGGGATTAATGACTCCTCACACTTTGAGAAATGTTTACCACTCGCCTGCGACCACTCCACTAGACGCACTAAGAGCTCTGTCACTGAAACAATAACGCAGTCTGAAAAGCCCTCATAACTCAGAGCTTCTCCGCCTCTGTCTTTTAACCAGAGCTTTAATCAACGTTTATGACATCCTTTTGTCTCTTTATTGCCAATATATTTCCCAACCAATCCAAACATTATGCTCCCAGAGGAGCAGACAATTAAGGTTGGAAAGAGCCGATACAGTTGAGGTCAGTGACCCACACTAAAGCAGATTTGATCTATATTATACTTAACCTTTTATTATTATGACTTTCTGCAAGGTTTTTCAGTAAGATCACCTTGGGAGCATTAGCACCAGGGAGGATGCTTTGTTGCAGAAGGTGCAAAAGGTGAAGGAGGCTAAATAACAAAAGTGTCATACGGGTTTTCAATTTGTAAACAAAGTATAAAACATCTTGAGTAAATGTTGACTTAAAACAATAGAAGATAGAGGGTAGATGTTCAATCAAATGGAATGTTACTGTAAACATTGTTTCCTGCGCTCCACACCTTAGACGACTGTGCCTGCAGGGATGGAAACGTTGGGCACTCAGTATAACTGCATACCATTCCATATTTCAACACCTCAGGCAAACATCTCTACTTGTCAAAAATGTAAAAGTGCATACATTGATTATGTTCAAATTATTCTCCATGCCACTTGCAAACTACAGTTAGATCTCCACACTGTCCGTTTTATAAAGGATTTTACATTTATAAGAAGTTCTGATGTATAATGTGTCAATACACTCACATTGGATAATTATCACAATGTTATACTAAAGGATGCAGCAGATTTGTAGACGGTAATTTTTGATATCATGACGTTTTCTGAATTACTAGAAAATATGTTAAACTGTTGGTCAATGGTTAAAAATCACAAAATATTGATGAATGACTTCGACCTAACATTACTGCCAAAGTATGACATTGTTGACATTGTTTATAAATGTCTTAATAAGAGAACTCTTGCTAAATGGTCATACTCTGCAGTATGGTGATAGCAGCTAAAAGTGGCTTCAATACACAGCAAAACAGCCGTACCATAATGCAAAATCATGTAGAGTCGTGGTTATGTTGGAACTTATTCAACTTAATAGTAGGGAACTATATGCATTTGTTGAAACATAAAAAGTTTGTGTTACCCGCCTTATAATATAATCTCCAGAAACAACGACCAAAGGTTTGAAAATGGTGCGGGACACACTCTGGTCCCGAGACGCCAAACATAAGCGTAGAGTTTCATGGTGGTAGTGAGAGCCTAATTCAACAAAACATATGTGCTGGGAGGTTCCCAGTAGATAACCCCAGTGATATCCCTGCACTCAACCACTCAACCCTGTTACATTTACATTAGGTGGCTGGTGAATGGTGCTGCCTGTTTGATGGCTCTTTAGATTTATACCAGTGTAGGCTGATGTCCTCTGTGCTCAGCATTTGTGGGTAAGTGCATCACTCTTCCTTCTGACATCTGAATTTGACTTCTGTCTGTGTTCATACTGGATTATTAAAGTCATAGGTAAAAGCATTTATAAATGTTCTCTGGCTGGGTTCAAAAACTGTCAAATAAATGGATGATAATAACAACACATTTATACCTTTCATTTACAAAGATGGGATTCTTATGATTTATAACACAACATAGCTTTTGGATTTATTTGTGGAGGAGTGTGACCGTTATAGTTTACCTTGGCCGGAAAAAACGCTCTGTTTAATTAATACCATTCATAAATAAACATGGTGGTGAGATGTACTTGAACGAAAATCGTAGGAGGGTTTGGAGCTGGAAAAACTGTTCCTGCCATCTTTCAATACTATTTAATTATATATTATAAACTGTGTTATTTCAAATGAAATGACCTAGATGTTGGACTACGTCTCTGCTAGATGCTGAATTACAGAAGCCAGAGGAATTTGGGTGCCTCTCTCTACTGCCTCCTTACTATATGTGGGAGTGCACGTAACTATCTAACAGAGAACAAAATTATCGTGTTGGTTATCTCAAACTTGTTGTGTAGGTCACATAGGGCAACAGGGTTTAATCACTTAACAGCAGCTGTGATATGTGAGTTTTCCTGCATGTACTTTCCAATTGAGGATAAACAACCTATTCAGTAAATCTCTACTGAAGAAAGTCACCAACCCATATATTACCGTATCTACGTTTATGGGCTGAAACAAATGAAAGAGTAATGATTAGTTGCAGCTATGCTCGTCAAGCACAATCATCAATAAATAACTGAGGGTAGCAAATGCCAACATGTTAAACTATTGCTGTCAGCTTCCTTAAACGAGAGGCCTTGTGTGATGTAATGCCTCAGTGTTGTGAAGCAAAACTGCAAAATATTTTCACGGGCTGGGCTCAATGTAGACCCACTACACCATCAACAGAACAGAACTAAAAGTTACTGCACACCTAATAAATGCAGAAAAGGCACATCTATTTCACTTGTTATAATATGCTTACGTCTTACGTGTACATTGTCCAGTCGTCCGTCTTTGTCTTGCAACCAATTGCATCACTGCATCCCTTCCACTGAAAACAGAAAGCAAAAGAAAAAACTTAAATTGGTTCCATGCATCACACAATCCATTATAAATCAGAATCAGAAATTGTTCATTTTGTATAGGGGTGAGAGCATCTTATACATCAAAATGTATAGTTTGCCTCTAAAATAATCAAAATGACCTTGCAGCACATGATGCATCAAGTGACCTTTATGGTATCAAACCTATGTATAAATAACATCAGACAGAAATTCTATTTCAAATGTATAATGTGTACTTTAACTTGTATTTAGCAACATGTAACAACACTCATGCCAAAGTTTAGGATGGTTGATAGAAGGCTTTTCATTACAGAACAGAAAGAGCAAGCACAACTGATATTTATCTGACCAACACTGCCACATTGTGGCCATGAGATGTTTTTCCAGCTACGTGATGCTCCAGTGTGTGATCAATGCCTCTGTATATCTTAATGCTAATCTCTTAATTCTTTGATTTTGGGGCACTTAGTGGCCACAAATCCAGACTTAGATGGGATTCAAATCAACACAAACACTTAAAGCAGAAAAGTTGATCCATTAATTTTGATATTACGCCCTGAGCGGAAAAACAATAATTTAACATTTTCAAAAACTGTACATTGTCATTAAATGAAAAATATTCTCCATGTAATTCATAGTATTACTAACTAGTAGCAGTATTTAGCTAGTGATTTTAGTATTGATGAATAGGTTAGCTTATTTGTTGACTATTGCAGGCTATTATTTTAGTCTTTGTAGTTGTTAAGTATCTTTTATGAAGTTTTGTCCATGTTCATGTTGTGTCTTAACGGTCATGTTCTGTCTCTTTGTGGTCATTTTGCCCCCATTGTGTAGTATTGTTGTGTGTCTTTTCAGTTTCTTTGTAGTAGTGTTATGTTTGTTTGTGGTCACTGGCTATTTTCCGGGGTCAGAAGGTGTCTCTTTAAAGGACATTTTGCAGGTGAAGAGCAGGGAGGCCCTGACACTTCCAGGCTCCATTCCTATGCATGGTAGGCCCATCCAGTAATCCAAGGGTAGGCTACTTAGTTTTACTGGATCAGTGCTCTGGGAATTGCGCACCCTTAGGCCTACTTAGGCTACCATACACGATCATTAAAAATAAGAATTTTAGAAAAAAAATACTTTTGTGTGTAATAACCTTAACCTGTAGCTATTCATTTTTTTATAAGTAGCAGGGATATTTTTATTTGGTAACTTAAAGATAAATACCAATCAGTACTATAAATTCACAATTAGTTCAAGTATGTATCCATTGTAATACTCTATTACTTTCTGCTTTTCTACTGAAAGTCAGACGCTTTACTTCCGGTCTGGGTGTCTCTCCCCAGCTGGTTTGACGCAGACCGGAGAAGTCACCGCGCCGCCCCGCCGCTCCAGCTGTTCACACCGCTGTCCGCCTGCTGTCTCCCCGCTGCTCTGCTGCTGCTGCTGCCCCCATTTCCAATGCAGCAGCGACCATGACAGGCATCGCCGCTGCCTCTTTCTTTTCCAACGCTTGCAGGTTCGGGGGCTGTGGACTTCACTTCGACTCTCTGGCCGAGCTCATCGTGCACATCGAGGATAACCACATCGGTAAGAGAAGTACTGAGCAGCGCAGCCAGCAATGGCCGAGCTTTGCAGCTAGCAGAGATGGCTAAGTTAGCGAGCTAGCAAGTCACTTCCTGCGTCCTGACAACACTGTTGCTAGGTGTGGTGGCTGTTGATGTGTACGTGTAGATATAACTGTTAATGTTCACCGATTGCAGGTATGTATCAATGCTGTATCACTGATAAAACAGCTGCAACACCAGCAGACACATCGACAGGAAGACACTTTCTTTACGCTCCGTCGGCTCGTCGTGCAACATTATTGCAGCCTCAGCCTGCAGCAGCCAATGAAGATACCCTCACTACTTATCCGCTCGTTTCAATCCGCCTCACAATATAGTGCAGTTTAATACTGTCTGCAAGTAAGGATGCAATTCACTATATATCAGGTTAAAGGTGGAGTTTAGTCTAGACTCTATGGTCATGTTTATGTTGTTGACCCATATTTATACTATTAATAATAAGTGTCTCATTATATACATACATGGTTAAATATATATTCTGTCCGTGCACCTTTACCCAAATATGTCAGCTGATGGGGGACAAAAAAGAATACTCTTTGCCTTTTGAAAAAGAAAATAGCTTTCAGTCTTGTTCAGCCTTTCGATCCACTTAATAAAGTCAACGTGTTACTTATGAGTCATGTACACATGTGTTAAAGGCCAAAATATGAAGTTTATATTACATTTTTAAAATCACTTTTTAAGAGAACATAAAGTCACCTGAGATCATCACAAATCTACAAGTTACCAGCGCCATTACAGTACAACCTTCTGTGAAACAACTTTGTATGATTCATTTTTAGTTGTTGTTTTTTTAAGCTGTTGTCCCACTGTGGGTTTAAATTGTTTACGCCACACTCAATCTGACCATCTGAAAAGTTAAAAAAAAGTACCTTTAAAGTTTGATAAATCAATCAATCAATCAATCAATGTTTATTTATATAGCCCAATATCACAAATGTTACATTTGTCTCAGTGGTCTTCACAGTTTGTACAGAATATCAGTATGACAATACGACACCCTCTGTCCTTAGACCCTCACATTGTACAAGGAAAAACTTCCAGAGAAAACCCACAGTTTAAAGGGGAACATGGGGGAAACCTCAGGGAGAGCAACAGAGGAGGGATCCCTCTCACCGGACGGACAGACGTGCAATAGATGCCGTGTGTAAATCGAAAAGATAATACATTTTAGATAAATAAATTATTGCACACACTTTTGGAGCAGTTTTTTAGAGACTGTGTTGCCTTTATGCCTGACTAAGTATATATTTGTACTTTGCATCATCATATGTTGTAGCCAATTATATTTTATTACTTTTGTATTTATTTTACTACTACTACTTTATATTTAATTGTATTTCAATTATTTCCAGTCCCACATGACATGGCTGATCTGATCATGACTGGCTCATTACACCATCACACCTAGCTTACTATCAATGCACCCTAAATAGCCTCTCCACAGTATCTCCCTTACTGCCATCATGTCCCACCAATAGACTGTATGGTCCCACCTCGATCAACAGCGCCACCTCTTGATCATGTGGGGCAAAACAATAACAGTAACTTCCTTTGTGTTGAGATTGGGAAGTCATTATGGTCAAGCTATACAATATACATTTCCCTCAGCCACTGTACTTATGATAAAAAAAATCTGATTTCTGAAATTTTAGACATCTATTTTGTTATTCATATGACATTTGATGAGCAATTCCATTTGGTAACCATTTCATTTGAGCATCACTAACTTGTGTGTAAATGTAATGTTAAGTTTATTGAAAAATGTTAAATCAAGTTAAGTTATTACCTGTGAACAAATGTATGTGTTTTTCAAAGCACGTTACTGTAACCTCTGTGTACCAGTAAAAATGTGGCTTTCATTTACTAACTTACTTTACTATTATGTAAAAATAGAAATATGGTATTGAGTTTATGATAGGCTAACTTAATTTAAGTTTCAAATAGATATAACATAAAAACTGACCTTGTGTATCACAGGTCAGAAACTACAAATGTATTATGTTTAATCTTACATACATTTTGCATTGTATTATGAACAGTACATTTTCATATCATTTTTGTTAACTAAGCCTATATAGTCTAAAAAGTGAATTCCCCGTGTCAGAGTTTGACACTCTTAAAGTTCCTACATCTGTTTCCTAATCCAATAGTTCAGACTCTTATTATTGAAGCTGACAAGGCACAGCTGTCTATGTTGTTCTTGTTTGTTGCTTGACTGGCTTTAATATCCTCTGCCCTCCGATTGTGAGCTGTGCATGTGTCCAAGGTGTTAGCCTTAGAAAAAAACAAACTCCAAATGACTTATTGGGGAATAACGAGGCAATTAGTTGGCTCAGAGTGGAAAAAACCTTGCTGCCCCCCTCCTTTGTCCACTGGCCTGTGCCCACTCTGAGAAGTGCGAAGTCTTGTGCGTTGTGCCAAGTGCCTGTGAAGCATAATTACAGAGAGTGCCTGATTTGGCCTGTCTTCCTCCTCATCTGGTGGCCTGCTGCTGCTTAAAGCACATTCTGCTTTATAATTAGGCGCCTGGAAAACAAGCACACATTCTTGTCCCCATTTTCTTTAGCCGGCCTGCTGTTCAGGTCTGTGAACAAGAGGTGGCGTTGCTCTGCTGTTGGTTGAGGGTTTGTCTTTTTTAGATGCACGGTCTGTACAGTAAAAGGCATATAATAGGCCAAAACATACTTTGCTTCAACTTTTAGATAGATAGAATTGGAGGGATGAAACCCTCTCCAATGGTCACACATGCAGAGCACACAGCACACACTTGTTAATGTATAAGGAAGTTATAATTTTAAGAATACCTATACATGAATATATTGTATTTAAATCCTTTTAGCATAGTTTGGTGCCCATATACATCCCTTTCCTTGAAGGATATTATTACAGTAACTTTGAAATAGAAAGCCTAAAGACATCATTTTTCATAGCTGACGATTCACAGTGTATTAGCCCCTTGTTATAAGTGGCTAATAAGAGTAACACTAAAATACATGAAGCTATATGAAAAATATATTATGTTGTTTGAATGTCATAAAACAGATATCAATAAAAATATAGAAAAGTTTCTATCCCACGTCAGTTATGATGCGGATGTGGTGTTTGTCAACCAGCAGATTCAAGTTGATAACATTGTGTTGGGTGGTCCACTTAGACCTCTTTGAACACATTTAGCTAACTTTAGGAGAGCTAATGAACCCTAATTCATCAGTAAGACAAGAAGAACATTTAGATTTTAAGGGTGTCTGTTATCATCTGGCTGGGGACAACAGCTGGAAATTAGCAATGTTGGCTAAAGCTGCCCCATTTACTGTTTTTTGTGACAGTTGATTAATTGGGCCTGTCCACGACACTATATACAAATAAACTAAAATAAAATAAAACATTTGATTACCAAGACTAAGTTGTGTTAAGCTTGAAATATCTCCTAAATAGACTGGTGTTCTTTAAAAACCTGCACGCACTTAAGCCAGTGAGATGTTTACCTTGTCACTGAGCGACCAGGCCCCTGTGGACCAGAAGCAAATGGCGATCATGTTATTTAAACCTGTGAGTGTGTGTGTAATGCTGAGGCATGGTGCACTGATGGCCTGCAGTGTCCAGGCTTAGTAACAATGAGTCTGTTTGTGGCCAATTCTCACTGGAGGCTCATTTAGTAGATGTTGGTATGCACCCCCAAAAATCTGCACGGAAGTAATAAATTTAGGAGGCAGTAACTAGTTCCCTGATCTGTGCACCTGGTGGGCCTAATTACATTTCCCCATCCCCCGACACCAGTGCTCCTGTTCCTGTGCGGTGACTCGACATGAGTGGCTCCTGTACTCAATAAAACATTATTCATATAACATGATGTACAGTCTGTGTTGACATCACACGACATGGGTGTGTAGTGAGGGACAAGTTTGATATTTCTTTGGTTGAAAACCAGATTTCTTTTATTTAAGTCTTCTTTACCTGTGCTCTGAGAAACAGAAAACTGTTGGCCCTTTTTGTGCATCATTATTATTATTATTATTATTATTATTATTATCATTATTATTATTATTATTATTATTATTATTATTATTATTATTATTATTATCACAAATATAACATTTTTGCAATGAATGTGTGTCTATTTACAGATGTCCCCTTATATTTACCTATGTGTTTTTGTTTCTTTCTATATGTATTACTTAGTTTACGGAATACGTTTTAGTTGCTGTCCGAGCCAAACATATTGATAATAGATCATTTTAACCTCCCCAGGTTTTTTCAGTAACCCGCAAAGGCAGCTTACACATGGAGCTTGACTCGGTTTCATTTCCTCCTCAGAGGTCACATCGTAATGAATTACCTGTGCCACCACTCCTGGTTATGTCCCCTGCTGCTCACAGCCACCATAAACATGTCACCATAATGCTCACCACTCTGCTCTACCCCAGAGTGCATTTGGCCATGAGGGTGCACGGGAGAACCAGAGAGAGAGTGTGTGTGTGTGTGTGTGTGTGTGTGTGTGTCAAAGGTCCAGGGTCGTGGAGGGCGTTATGAGGGGGCTACAGGCGTCACTTCCTCCGTTGCCTGAGGAAGGTTTGTTGTGTGATGGTTTCCTTTTGTGGGCCGTCATAGGGGCCCTA